ATGCAAAGGGTGTAATTGGTAACCGGGAGGCAATCCAATGTGGTCTGGTTCAGGCAATTTCGGCAGTGGCAAATTGGACAGTGCCCGGTGAGCTGCAGGACCTAAAGAAGGGCAAGTAGGATTCCCAGGGTGAGGATAGCACACCTCGGCAAGCACGCTATGGGACTATGAGCACAATATATGCTGAAATACGCTATTCCCAGCATGCTAGGTGTAAGGCCACAAGCATGCTGATGGGAATAAGTATGAATACTACTTTGTTGGTTACTGATGGGTGGTCCCTGCCAAAGAGAGAAGTATATTATCTCTTGGGGAAACCTGTTTCCATAAGTTTAAATTTAGATTTCCTTTACTGCTTGTGGTCCATACCATGTCATTATCATCCTGCACCACTACCTCACCTTTTATAATATTTTTATTGTTCCTATTCCTTATCCACACTTGTATGGTATAATTTTATTTCTGATTCCTACAAAAGATAACGAAATGTTCTGTGGTTTAGTGAACATTTCATTAAGGGGTGAGGGTCTATTAGTTCTGGGGGAAACATTAATGCTTGTGGCTACGAGATCACACAAATGTCCTTTGTTTTTTATTTTCTGAACCTTTAAATTTTCTTTTATTAAATCATTAATCCTTTAATCCTTTCTACTCCACCTGCTGCTTGCGGATTGTAAGTTAGGTGATAGGTCCGTTGCACGTCCCAATTCATGGTCCACTCCCTGATTATTCTATTTTTAAAAGGGGATCCTTGGTCAGATTGTATACTTACTGGTGGTCCAGAAGCGGCACACTATTGATCTAATGATCTTTTTGTCCTGTGTGCATCTGGGTGTTTCGCTGGGTTTAACATTATTAAAGAGGTAAATTTGTCAATGATTACACAAGTGTATTGATTTTCTAAAAATGCTAACGGGCCTATTTATCTGTAAACATTGGCTGAATCTGGTCTCTTCCTTAATGTGTCCTTCTCTCCTGGTAAATTTTGATTTCTTATCTTTGCAAGTTGGCCATTTACTTATTGCTTCCTTTACTTTGTGCCAAGTAACTCTTAAATTTCTTTCTATTATCCAATTGTATACTGCCTGTGCTCCTGCATGTCCCAATATCTCACGTATGCCAAGTATGTCAATCTGGGTTTCTCCTATCGTCCTCTTCACAGCGTTCTGTTTTTCCTCTGCTGGTAGTACATCCTCTTTCTCTTCACTGTTAATCAATTGTGGGGGCTTGTCCTTTGAGTATTTATGTCTCCTGCCCCAGTTACTAATAAAGCTTTTGATGCCTGCTCTGCATTATTATTCCATTCATCAACGGGTCTTCCTTTTTTCTGGTGGGCAGACACATGGTGATCTCTGGTGGGCAGACACATGGTGATTTCTGGTGGGCAGACACATGGGCGATCTCAATAGTGATTTTGTCTTTTAGCTCATCTAGCTCCTTCCATGTCTCCTGAGTTAGTTAGTTTATTGTGCCAACCTGGCCGGTAAACACATGTGGGATTAATTGAAGGGCAGAGGGATAAATGGCTCAGTGAGCCTCGCCTTTCGAGTTCTCGGGTCTCTTGCTTTGTGATGGTCCACCAGGGTGCAGCTGCCTTAGCAGTTCCCCACTTCAGCTTGCAAGGCTGACTTCCTGCAAGACATCCCCAAGGGGAAGCCACATGGACCTATCCCGATGCAGCCCTGGGTGCTGGAGCAGCCGTGTGGAGACCCCTGCCAGCGCTGAGATGCTTCCACATTCAGTGACTTGGCTTTCCTCCTGCAGTTGTCATCATTGCGTGTGTTTTGTGAGATGGAGGAGAACTTTGTGGACTGGTGTTGGACATATGGGTTAATGGGTGAATATTGGACTTGTTTGGGCAGCACTGGGTTGGGATGTTTTCTTGATGCACAGTTAACCTTTATATAAAACTCTCTCTTATACATGAGTTTCTGTGGATTTGTTTCTCTAAAGTACCCAGATTAATACATGTCCCTACTCCAAATGTCTTGGCCATTGATTTTAAAATCTCTCATGGCCCATATTCCCGACCAAAGGGCGATGTCGTTAGTGGATGCTTGAGTCTGAAAAACTATGGATCACACTTTCCTTTTCCTTTAAGCTTTGTAATATTGCCAAATGGACTGCTATTGGGTCAGCAGGTTGTGCTGATGTCATCTTACCCACTTTGGTTAGGAGTTTGCTGTCCTTCACTCTGATCACTGCTGCCTTCTGAGTTTTGTGATTCCGTAATATGGAGGATCCGTCTGTAAACCAAACATTTGCAAATTCGGGAACATACTCAGGACCCCATTGCCCGATGTTCTGGCTGGATGTTCTGGTTCTCCTAGATCTTTGATAGGGGTCTCTACATCGTACTCTGCTAAGGTTTCAAGAATCGTACTTGGTGTTCCTGCATGCTTCATGGTGAGCTGTTGGAGATATCATTTCCAAGTGATCTGCTTGGGATCCAGACTCACTCCTTTCATATGTCTGGGGTTAAGCTAATCATCTTTGCAATGGGTTTGTGCATTCTAAAAACACATTCCTGTTTTTGATCCAAGGTGCAGCCTGTTGGGTGGCCATGTAGGCGGCCCATATGAGTTGTTCTATCAAATTGTATCTTGTCCTAGAGTAAGGGAATCTTTGGGTGTAGAACCCACATGGTTTATAATTTGCATCTCCTGATGACTTTTTAAATATCCCCCATGTCACATATTCATATTTCATTATGATACCTATTCTTAATTTGTCTTGACCTCCTGGTCTTTCTAACTTCTGATAGGTTTTGATCTACTCAGGTCCTCCCTCAATGCAAGAGCACTTTGTTTTAACAAACTGGTATTCTGTGATGCTCACCCTCCTGGCGCAATCGCTGAAGATAAAATGGGTGCATAAGCAAATGTGGTAAAGAAAGTGGATGGTGCCTGGGTGTCACAAATGACACGCTCAATAATTACTTAATGCTCTTTGACATTTTCAAATGCTTGATTTATTCACTGCAAACACACATCAATCAATCTAGCAAGCTAAAAACTAACGTAAATTATTACTATGAGGGTAATACACAATTAATTCAGCATCATAGGCTCATTAAGCATGCCCTTTATTGGTGTAATCACCCTGGGTAGAGTTGGAGAGAGCAGGAGTTGATGTCTCCTTGGTTCCTAGCTCTCTGAAATTTCAGTCTCTACCTGGGTTTATATAGGCAGTTCAGCTGGCCATTTGACATCATTTGGCCAAGTCTTATCAGGGCTCCCCAGGCCTTCTGGGGTGGCTTCTAGTCCATCTGTGGAGTGCGGTTCAATGTCTTGCAAGGGAGTTCAACGTCTTACAAGGAAGTTCCAATGCTCTTCTCACTGGCTATCAAAAGATAAAGCATCTGGAGTCCCAAAGGCTTAAAGTTAATAAGTGGGCATCTAGCAGAGAAGCAACAAGCCCACATGGAAGAAGCATACCAGCCTGTGTGATCATGAGGTAATGATGGGATCGGGTAACAGGCATCAGAAGACCATAAATAAACAAAAGCCATGTTGTTGAGAATGAGGGGGGGGGGCAGAGCAGAGATCCAAAACCCATCTGTAGACAATGGGATATCTCCTCACAGAAGGATCACAAGGAAGGGATGAGCCAACCAGGGTGCAGTATAGCACTGAAGAAATACATAATATTCCTCTGGTTCCTTGAGCCTTCCTCACACCCCACTATCATGACCCCAGTCCTACCTTTCACTGTGGCCTAGACTGGAGCATGTGCACAGGGACAGATAAGAGATAAGAGGTAAAGGGCACACAGAATCCAGGAACAGGAATGGGACTAGCAATACCAGGAGGGTAGGGGGAAAGTGGGGAAAGGAGGGGAGGAAGGGGGAACCGATCAGAATTATCGACACATGCTCCCCTCCCCAGGGGGATGAACAACAGAAACTGTAGGGGAAGGGAGACAGCAGACAATGTAAGATATGAAAATAATAATAATTTATAATTTATCAAGGGGTCACGGGGTGGGGGGGCGGGGAGGGAGGAAGGGTAAAAAGAGGAGCTGATACCAAGGGCTCAATAGAAAGTAAATGTTTCAAAAATAATGATGGCAACGTACAAATACACTTGATACAACTGATGGATGGATTGTTATAAGAGCTGTAAGAGCCCCCAGTAAAATGACCTTTAAAAAAATTATGAATGAAATGGAAAGCATAAAATTGACATTTGATGTATTGGTGAGCTAAAAAAAAAAAAGAAGTCATGTGGAATTTAGAAAATACGTAGAACAAAATGATAAAGAAAATGCTATGTAGCAAAATTGCTGTGCATAGCCAAAACGTATTTAATGGAAAATCATAACTTTAAATATATTTATCAGAAAATAAGAAAACTGAAAAATTAATGAGCTGTGTAGCTAGATAAAGAAACTATTTTTATTTTTAATGAAGTGAGTGCTAGAGTAACAAAATAAACCCAAAGAAACACAGTGGAAAGAAAGTTAATGACAGAGAGAAAATGCTATACTAACAAAATCAAAGTGTTTTCTTTAAGATTAAGTAACCTTCCCAGACGTTGTCCTATGCATCTCTTCACTTTAATCCTTTTGGGCTATAAGACATCTGTACGTAAATATGATGTAGTCTTCATAAATTCTGTGTGTCATTCTAGCAAGTTACCAAACCTAAAGGTATGGTAGCACCCTGCGAGTCAAGAAGTAAGGGAGTCATGTGGACTCTCAAGCTTGTGAGTAGCATCCTGAAGGAGTAGTGGGAAACCATTCTAGAATTTGTGATCCACAGATCAGCAGGTTGAAGCTTTATGTGGACTCTCCAAAATTTCAACTGCCATCTGCCTACTTGCTGACTGAAGGATGTGTCCTTTTGACTCATGAGCTATGAATCCTCTTCAGGTGGCTCAGTTCAGAGAAAATGCTGTGGGGCAACTAGAAACAAGAAGAGAGAAGTGGGAGTCTGCGCCCACTTGTCCTCGGGTCTGCCCTGCCGCCAGCCGCGAGCCACTGCCCTCCTGCCGCCCACCATGGCCCTGCTGCACTCTGGTCGCGTCCTCTCTGGAGTCGTCGTCGCCTTCCACCCAGGCCTCGCCGCCGCGGCTCCTGCCAGAGCCAGCTCCTGGTGGGCCCATGTGAAGATGGGGCCTCCGGATCCCATTCTGGGAGTCACTGAAGCTTTTAAGAGAGATACCAACAGCAAGAAGATGAACCTGGGAGTTGGGGCCTACCGGGATGACAATGGAAAGCCCTATGTGCTCCCTAGTGTCCTGAAGGCTGAGGCCCAGATTGCTGCAAAAAATCTTGACAAGGAATACCTGCCCATTGGGGGTCTGGCTGAATTTTGTAAGGCATCTGCAGAACTGGCGCTGGGGGAGAACAGTGAGGTGGTGAAAAGTGGCCGGTACATCACCGTGCAGACCATTTCTGGCACCGGCGCACTCAGGATCTGAGCCAGTTTCCTGCAAAGATTCTTTAAGTTCAGCCGAGACGTCTTTCTGCCCAAGCCCTCCTGGGGGAACCACACGCCCATCTTCAGGGACGCTGGCATGCAGCTTCATGGGTATCGGTACTACGACCCCAAGACTTGTGGTTTTGACTTCACTGGTGCTATCGAGGACATCTCTAAAATGCCCGAGCAGAGCGTGCTCCTCCTGCACGCCTGTGCTCACAACCCCACCGGAGTGGACCCCCGCCCCGAGCAGTGGAAGGAGATGGCCAGCGTGGTGAAGAAAAAGAATCTTTTTGCATTCTTTGACATGGCCTACCAAGGCTTCGCCAGTGGAGA